GTAAATCTGCAGCGTCCAGATGTTCAGGCTGATTGAGACCAACACAGGATTCATGTTAGATCTGCAGCTAAAGGTTCACCTCCTAAATCCTGACTTGAAGGAGGTGAAAATATTTTATAGATACAGTTAAAGACCACAGACGACGAGAGGACGACAAGATCTGTTTTTTGTTTTAACGCTGGATGCTGACATGTTGGTTTTAGGGTTGTAGCCCGACACGTGAATGTTCACATCGTTTGTCATTTCAGAAATCACCTCAGGCAGCTCTGGATGTTCCAGCAGCACGATCCTGTTATTTAAAAAGTCCACCGCCTTGTCCGAGCCCTCCAGGAAGACAGAACACGATCCCACCAGCAGCATCGACAGCGGTGACGAGTACCGGTACGTAATCAGAGAAGGGAATTCCTTCCTGGTGACTTGAAGGAATGAGGAAATGCCTGTTTGAGCTATAAATAACTCAGATACCAGCGTAGATGGAGGTCCTTCACTCTGATGTTTCTGTCACGTGAAATGAGTCACTTGCAATGACGAATCCTCAGAGAATCAACATGTGACCACAGTTGGCACAGATTCATCCATGAAACTGTATTTTGATCGACAGCGTGATGTGAAGTTTTGGATTCCATAGAACATGCGTGTCTCTGCTTCGCCTCTGGCCAGGTTCACTGCTCTGAGTGTTTTCTGTCATAACTGGCTCCAGTTAATGATAAACTTGCTGCGGTTGTTTTTCAGCACTGAAACCTGTTTGGTAGCAACAAGTGTGAGAACCGATCAAGTCCAAGTGGACTCGGTCCGACTCTCAGCGTCATGTGTTGTCTCTGTTCAGATGTGATTAAAAACTGAAGCAGCAACGGAGACGTAGATCTTTGAGGATATGAAAACATCACGAAACTCAACATTCAAAACGTCTTTTTTTTTTTTTATTTCTAGATAATTTCCTTCACCTGTGACAAACACGAGTCAGTGCCAAGTTTCATGTGTTTTTATTTTTTCTTCAGAGCAGGTGACTTGAATAAAAAGTACCTAAATGTGACCGACTACAGAAAGTACTGAGCATCCACAGACCAAAGCTGCTGAAACAGATACGAGACTTTCTCATTTGTTATATTTAGAAAATGAAACAGAGACTTCTTCGCCCACGGGGCGACATGACTCCTCGTGGGCTGCTGTTTTTGTGCAGGTGTTAAAAACTGAGACTGAACAGATCAACTGTGATCAATGTGGACAGAAAACGACGGCAAAGGCACAAAGCTTCTGCAAAGACAAGCAAAAAAAACGGAACAAAATGACTTTGAGGGGATAAAAACTCACTCTGGAGTCACAACATGACGACAAAGTAACAGGATGCTGTCAAAGAAACGCACAACATCACAAAATGGCTAAAAAACTGATGAGAAATTAGTCCAGCGAGACACATAAACACAGTTATAAGACACAAGACGACTACAAATACAGACTGTACCTACAACGAGATGCCAAACAACGTCACAGTTTCACTTTGGAGGAAAAAAATCCCACTAAAGGGTTGAAAAATGACCACAAAGTGATGCCAAAGGAATTCAAAGACACAAAGAAATGCTAAACATCACAAAATGACTGTAAAAATGATGCAGAACAACATCACAGATCGACTTTAAATGGTTTAAAAACCACTACAGGGCTGCAAAACGACCACAAAGTAACACAAAAATGTCTAAAAGATCAATGCAAGACTTTACAAAATGGATGAAAAATGACCACAAAGAGTCAAAATTAGTACAAAAAGACACACAAACGCAATTAAAAGACCACAAATACAGACAGTATCTCCAAAAAGATGCAAAACAACATCGAGATCTGACTGTGGAGGGATGGCAGGAGTTGCAAAACGACAAGTCACACAAATTGACCACAAAGTAAAGCAGAATGACTTCAAAGGGTCAAAAGGCCGTCAGACAAACACAAAACACGACCACAAGGAGTCAAAATGACGACAAAAACAAAACACAAACGATACAAATACAGACTGTACCGATGAAGATGCCGTAAGTAACACAAAATAAGTTTAAAGAGACACAAGACAACAAATAAATGAACAAAAAAGCTGCAAAACTTCACCTCAAAATGACCAAAACGTGATGAAAACGACACAAAGTCCACAAATCAGCAAGAAACCGATTAAAACTGACGACAAACAGACGTCACGCGACAACACGGAGACACACTTTTCCTTCAAGTACGCAGGTTTGTATAAATATTCAAAGCTGAGGATCTTCCTCCAGAACATCCGGACGGGTCAGATGGCGTCCAGGTTCAGCGTCGAATAGAACGTCGGCCCAGAGTCCAGATCTGAGGAGGACCAGCAGACGTCAAGAAGTGA